TTCCACTTCGACTCGAAAAAGGTGAATAAAACCTTTGAAATACTTAAAAAAATTATAAAGCCACTTCGTTTTGAAAAAATCAAAATACCTCCATATTCTTTAAGAATAACAAAACAGAGGTTAATTAACAAGATTCATAGGGTCCGACAATTATTTCTGATTTATTGAAGGTACGAAATAATATTTAAAAATTTATTCCTCATTCTCATCATAATTTGCAAGGTTTTTATATCAAACTGTCAATGAATTTTTGGATACCAATGATCCCTCGAATAATATAAATGTTTACATAGGCGTATACATTATGACATCGAGTATACGTAGCAATGAACTTGTAAATTGTTCATTGCGTGTTTTTCTTTCGAGTCAAAAACTATAAATAGTTGCAATGTCAAAAACCCCACCCAATTACTTAGCGTCTCCTACGTTCACGATAATTTTCAAGGCAATTAGAAACAAGTTTCAATGGCTTTTCAAAGTGTTCGTGGGTTATAACTTGTGTCAATTTCTCGATGCATATTAGGCACAAAGAATTTTCTGACACTTCCATTGTTCTTCTTTGTTTTCGAACCAAAAATTTCAAATTGTTTGCAATGTCAAGAATTTTCTTTGTTTTTCCGATTCTTTTCCAGGAAAACCAAAAACCTCACCCAATTTCATTTGTATCAAATTGCTACATTAAAAATGCATTATATATGCAGAATATTGAAATAATATACATATCGTATATTGTTTATTTATTTTTGCAACGATTGATGGGGCACTTCAATAAAAAACATACATACATATGTAAACAAACATGTCATATACAAGTGGTATGATAAGTGTGAAATGTAACCAATTTCGACAATGGTAAATATTGTGTAAATAACTAACAGAGGCGTAGATGAAAAGGAAAATTTCACAATAGTGTTTTTATTGATAGGAAACCTCTTGATAGAAGACTTTTTATAGCTGGTGGAAACATAATGCGGGTCAATGCCAAATTATGGGCCCGCATTGAACGGATTAGCCGAATTACATTCATTTTAAATGAGCGTGTCTTTCTTGTACAGGGGGATGGTGGATGTTCATATTATTCAGATACCTCTAGTAAGCCTGGCGGTATCAGGCTGGACTAATGGAAGAAGTAACATAAAATAAAGTTACGGTGCATGGCATAAATAACCCATTATCCGTGGGCGACGTTATTCTGCCCACGAGTCCTGATCCGTCGTCATCCTACAAAAATCTCCTACAGATGTGGATGCCTTGGCCCATCTGTAGTTGAGAGTACCACTATACACGGCCAAGGAAAAACTAACTTCCACCGACCAACCGATCGAACGACCGATGGAGCCGATAGAGCTGGCTCGGAATATTGCGTATAATTTGGGAAACCGGACTGTACAAAAGAGGAATTTGGAACACACACACTGTTATAAAATTGCTAAGCAGTGCTAATGTAGTCAGGAAGTATTTTAGTGACGAACTCTGGTACGCAGTGATCGACGTGCATCTGGCAAACTAATTAAAAATATGTATATAGAGGACAAATATGTGGTCGACAAGAAAATCCTAAATAGCCTTATGGAAGGAGGGAACAACATAGATCTAACAAGCTGACATCTGCAGTTAAGGGTTCCGCTACAAGCAAACAGCCAATAGGCAAGAAAAAAAGCTAGGTATAAGAACCATCGGATTACTTCACCCAATCTTCTGAAAATGACGAAGCAGAACTTTCTTGGAATAAATAAAAAAATTGAAAAATGCAATTGGAGAAGTAAGCAAGGATACTGCCACATGAACGACTAACATATAAATAAATCGCTAAGTTCGGCCGTGCCTAACTTTTTACACACTCCACCATTGTCCTTCGAAATATGGGTCTTTCAGGTAAAAACGAAATACCAACAATACCATCCCCTAAATACCGGATATTGGGGGTACTGATATATAGGGGCTAACCCGAAACATTAGTCAATTTTAATAATCTTTAGTAGGGCTATATATTGAGAACCCAAAATGCCAAATTACAACCAATTCCGATGTAAAACGTAGTAAAGTCGGACTGGGCCGACTATTCGATACCCTTCACCAATTTTGGTATATTCTATATATGTATCCTAACAGATGTCGCCTTTTCGAAGGAATACTAATTTCAGTACGTTGTGTCAATCGGCCTAGCTACGGGTCTTTAGTGCAGAATTTACATTAAATAGGACGAAAATATATATGGGAGCTATGACTAAATCTGAACCGATTTTCACAAAACTTGACACACATCATTCAAGACTCAATTCAGTACTCTATGCCAAATTTCGTACAAATCGAAAGATATATAAGGACTTTGGAGCACAATTGACATAAAATCGAACGAAACTAGATATGGGAGCCATATCTAAATCTGAACCGATTTTCTCTAAACTTAACACACGTTATTAGAGACTCAATTCAGTACACTATGCCAAATTTCGTGCAAATCGAAAGATATATAGGGACTTTGGTGAACCATTTTCATAAAATCGGACGAAATTATATACGGGAGCTATATCTAAATCTGATCCGATTTTCACGAAACTTAGCACACACCATTCTGGACCCAATTCAGTGCCCTATGCCAAATTTTGTGCAAATCGAAATACATATAGGGACTTTGGTGCCCCATTTACCTTAAATCGGACGAAAATATGCATTGGAGCTATATCTTAATCTGACCCGATTTTTTCGAAACTTGACACAAATCATTCAAGACTCAATTCAGTACTCTATGCCAAATTTCGTGCAAATCGAAATATATACAGGGACTTTTGTACAGGGTTCGTTCTTGGGCCAAATAAGTGACCTATGCCAAATTTCATCCAAATCGGATCATAAATGCGACCTGTACTTTGTTTACAATTTAACATGGAAAGACAGACGGACGGACATGCATAAATCGACTTAAACAGTGATTCTAAGCTTATTCTCAAAAGGAACCATGTGTCTATCTTGTTTCCTTTTGCCTGTTACAAAGATATGCACAAATACATAATACCCTGTACCACAGTGTGGTGAAGTGTATAAATATTGGGTATCTTTATATGGGGTCTACCCCAAATATTGGATTAATATTAATCGTTTGTAATGGGGAGGTTTGCTATAAATTAGGAATACAAAATACCAAATAACCGCCAAATCGGATTGAAATTGTGACCAACAATTGAGTATATATTATACATTTTTAGTAAGAAAGTTAGCTATACATTGCAATACAAAATTAAAGCCCATTCTAATGAAAATTGTGCTGAACAACTCGAAAATACCGAATTGTACTATTATATGGGGCTTAGTAATTTTTCCCATCGCATATAAAGTGCTATCCAGCGTGCTGTGTGAACGACTTTTTACTCTGCACCAAATCCTGGGGAAGACCCATGAAAAAACACGTCGACACATTCCACCTATTCGTAGTTTGTAAAGGCGCATTTGACAGCCCTATCTGTTCAGAGGTGTTTAAAGTCATGTCTGTGTTCGGCATTCCTGCAAAATTAATACGGCTAAGCAGGATAACTTCAAGTGGCACAAGGTTAGCAGTTAAGGTCGGAAAGGACCTATCGGAGCCCTTTAATTCCGAATGAGGATTCAGACAAGGTGACAGTTTGTCGTGTGATCTTTCAACAAATTGAGAAGGAGTCTGTCAAAGTGGTTGTGGCAGTAAATGGCGAGAAGACCAAGTCTGGAAGGAATAAAAGGAGCTTTCCGTCATCTGATATGAAGTGATAGGAGATGCACCGACAAACGGCGAAAAATCTAGCCTCCTCACAATTTATGTTAAAAATGTCTTCATATTATATAATGCTACCTTTAGCCTGATTTCAATAGTCATACTCATCGACAAACTTTGCTAAATCGACATAGAAGTTTATACTGATCGAAAAAAAATATATGTATATAGTATTGGGTTCCGAAGAATATATCAAGGCATTACAAATGGAAATAAATTAAATCCATACTTAATTACATGCAAATATAAAATTTATTGCTTATCATGCTATCTTTTGAGACTTTCCGCAAGTATTTTATGTAAAATGTCATCATGTCTACAGTTCAAATGCATTCATTATCTCCATACCATGCCGCATACCAATAATCTCTACAGCTCACACACACACACAGTACAAAGAATCCATAAAAACCCCATCCATTTAACCTCTTAAATGAAGTCAAGTGAATTTTCAATTTACACCTCCTCCTCCTCGAATTACCAATCGCATCTGCATCCGCTTTAACCCCAAGAACGTGTACACCAAGAACCCATATTGAAGCTGGTAAAACTTATTCCATTGTTATGGTTGTTGTCATATTCTATGTATAAGTGTTCATCCTCCTGCTGCTGCTCTTGATCGTCTGGTTCATTGGAGACAACCAGTAGTAGGTCATTGCCGGGTGGTCTAATGTCATATGCATAATATTGGTACGGGGGAGGTTGGTGTTGGTGCAGGTGGGAATGGTGTGGGTGATGGTTCTGATGTTGCTGCTGCTGCATTTGATGTAGGTAAGAATGACGTGGTGATGATGTAGAGTCGCCCGGCCCCATTGGCGCCCGGTTTACTGGCAATTGCAATATGGCTGAAGAAGTGGATGATGTTGATGATGGTCCTGTTGCTTCTGCTCCTGCTACTGCTGAAGATGACAGCAAATTAAGTTCATTTAAATATCTAACATTTATATTCGGATGCTGATGAAGATGATGAGTAACCGCCTGACATTGTTGATGGTTGCTGCTGTCATATGCGACTCGATTACTAAAACTGGTCATTGTTCTTGTTGTTTGGCTGCTGCCATGATTGATGATGGCGTTGGAGGTGGCATTGGGTATGGAGATGCTATCGGTGGTGGCGGCCGAGGTGGTCCTTCTGCTTTCATAATCACACTTTCCCTTATTGACTTTGAATGAGAATTTTTTTGCTTTCTTTGTTCTGCTTGTGGTTGTGTGGCCACAACTGCTGTCCTCTGCAGCTGTTGCCGTACTTGTTGTTGTCGTTGTTGTGGCGGGTGTTGCGGTAATACTGTTGGTCGCCAAATCGGATTGACATTTTGAAGCCAGCTATGCTGACACATAATATTCTCGTTGACGTTTTTGACATTTTTCGCGTGCAATATAGCACAGGGCAATGGTGATCAATAGGGCAATGGTTATGCCCATGCCAATGCTAACCCACATAATCTCCTCATTGATGCCAACATATGAACGGCCTGGAATAAAAAAAAGAAATAGATGGGAGAAAAAGTAGACAAGAAAAAAATTGATGAGAAATGTTATTGGATTATTTTGGTTTTCTAGAGTGGGGAAAAATTAGTATTGACGGTATAGTTGATGGCAGATGAAGATAAATGAGTGGAAATGGAAATTTAAGAAGGAAAGTGTAGAAAATGACTAAGGTTCCAAACTACCTGTAACCGGAATATGAGTTGTTTTTACCTAATAACTAGAATACATTTTTGTGATTTTTTTATAATGATAATTTTGAGATTAATGGTGGTATGTTTATTTCATAATAAAAAGGAAGGACCCCCGAAGAAACATCCGACAACGACATGAGGTTGATTGCCTTCGCGGCAGCAAAAACCATGGTAGTTAGCAGCACCAGATTCAAGCATCTCTATATACACTACTAGAAATCAAATTGATCATGTTGTAATAGACGGTTAGAGGAGCGATTATCGATTCGGACCAATACCTTGTGGCAGCCAATGTTCGCACCCGTCTTAATGTAGCATCAAAGATGCGATATAATGTAACACGAAAACTCGACGTCGATAAGCTACAAACACAACAGATAAACCAGTAAGGAAAGTAGTAAAGTCGGACGGGGCCGACTATATGATACCCTTCATCACTTTGGGTATATTCAACAGATGAATACTAACAGACGTCGAATTTTCGAAGGACCATTAACATGAAAATGGATCCATAAACATATCATTCTGCAACCTAAATCTTGTGCCGATTGGACTTCTAGGTTATACTTACTGCAGTACGTTGCGCAAAATTTGTGTCAATTTTGTGTAAAATCGGACGAAAATATATATTTAGAAGCTATATCAAAATCTAAACAGTACGCTATGCCAAAATTCGTGTAAATCAAAAGACTTCAAGGGACTTTAGTGGACTATTTACCTGAAATCGGGCGAAACTATATATGGGAGCTATATCAAAATCTGAACCGATTTTCACGAAATTTGCACACATCATTCTAGACTTAATTCAGTACGCTATGCCAAAATTCGTGCAAATCAAAAGATTTCAAGGGACTTTAGTGGACTATTTACCTAAAATCGGGCGAAACTATATATGGGAGCCATATCTAAATCTGAACCGATTTTCACGAAACCTAACACACATTATTCTAGACCTTATTCGTTATGCTGTGCCGAATTTCGTGCAAATCGAATGATATATAGGGACTTTGGTACACCATTTACCTTAAATTGGACGAAAATATATCTGAACCGATTTTTCCCAATTTCAATTTCGATTTTTCCAAATTTCATCCAATTCGGATCATAAATGCGACCTGTACTTTGTTTATAATTTAACATGGAAAGACAGACGGACATGCATAAATCGACTCAGAAAGTGATTCTATGCATATTCTCAAAAGGAACCATGGGTCTATCTCGATTATTTTTGCCTGGTGAAGGGTGTAAAGAAGCATATTCTACTCAACTTACCCACCTGCTCGATGAAAGCACTCCTTGTCCCGATAATACTCCTTGGGTACCAACGACTAACATCAAGAAACCCGTGGTACAATCAGGAGTGTCGTAATGCTACGGAGTTGAAAATCGCAGCGTATAGGACAACCCTGCAAACAGTAGCAACACGAAATGCGAGAGAGAATCATCGGGAGAGAGAAGAAAAGTATTTTCAGAAAAAAGAAGAAATAAAAAAAACGTGAGCGGGAACAAGTCGAGATGTACAGGAGTCAGATTGAAATTCCAGAAATATTTCCAACGAGTAAAACACCAAACCCAAGGTACACCCTCCTGTAGATATGAAGATGGAAACCTGATGACAGATACAGGTAGCGTGTTGGCGGAAACCTGTTGACAGATAAAGGTAGCGTGTTGAGGATCTTAAAGGAGCATTTTGTAAAGCTTCTGGTATCAAATAGTGGCGTTGAAGAAGATATCCCAGAACCAATAAGAGATGACGGTATAGAGTGTATACCACTTAGCCAAGATGAGGTCAGAATAGCAACCAATCGGCTGAAGAATAATAAAGCAGCAGGTGCCGATTGATTACCAGCCGAACTATTCAAGACTGGTGGTCAGATGCTGGTCAGGAGCATGCACCAGCTGATTAGTACAATTTGGCTAGAGGAATGCCTGACCAATGATTGGAACCTCAGCAACATGTGTGCCGTGCACAAAAAAGGAGACAAGACGATATGTGCCAACTATAGAGGAATTAGTCTTCTTCCCATCGCATATAAAGTGCTGCGTGAACAACTGAACCCAATGGTCAATTACATTATTGGACCACACCAATGCGGCTTCAGACCTGGCAAATCCACCATTGACCAGATTTTCACTCTGCGCCAACTCCTAGAAAAGTCCCATGAAAAGCACATCGACACATTTAAGCTATTCGTCTCCTATAAAACCGCATTCGACAGCCCAATCTGTTCAGAGGTGTTTAAAACCTATCTGCGTTCGGCATTCCTGTAAAATTATTACGGCTATGCAGGATAACTTTAACTGGCACAAGGTCAGCAGTTAAAGTCGGAAAGGAAGTCACGGAGCCCATTAATAACGAACGAGATAAGGTAACATTTTGTCGTGTGATCTTTTTAACATCAAGTTCGAAAAGGTCATACGAGAGGCAAAGGTGAACAGAAATGGCGCTCTGTATACCAAACAGCATATGTTACTCGCCTACGCCGACGACATCACATAGTGGGTCGAACATTGCGAGCGGTAACATCCAACTTTGAAGGAATTGAGAAAAGGTCTGACAAAGTGGGACTGGCAGTAAATGTCGAGAATACCAAGCTGATGGTATCAACGCGCAAGATGTCCAGTAGACTCGGACCAACTGTGGAACTTGAAAACTACAGCTTCGAGGTTGTCATAGATTTTATATACCTTGGTACCGCTATAAATAAAACTAATGACATTAGTTATGAAATTCGGAAGAGAATAGTGTTGGCCAACAGATGCTACTATGGTCTAAGTAAACAATTCATAAATAGAGCCACCTCTCGCCAGACGAATCTCAACGTGCTGGTGTATGGAGCAGAAGCATGGGCTCTTGCACAAGCAGACGAATCAGCTCTTGCAATATTTGAGAGAGAAATTCTCCGAAAGATCTATGGGCCGATCTGCGGTGAATATTCGTGTCGAATGAGTTGTACCATCTATTCACGGACATCGACATAGCAGACGTATCGAGCTGCAGCGACTTCGTTTGCAAGGTCATGTTGTGAGAATGGATGAGAATGCCCCAGCTCAAAAGACATTTAAAAGTGAACCAACTTATGGATCCCGTAGAAGGGATGTAGTGTTGCACACATAATACCAGCTTTCAACCTTCAATTAAATTTAAGATCCAAATGAGACGAAATTTGGCCCAAGGACGAACCCTGCGCCTGTCCGATATTTATGGTACCCACATCTAAATCTGAACCCATTAACTACAACTCTTTGTACCAAATTGATTAGCCATGCCAAATTGAATATACCCAAAACGATGTACGTTATTACTATTATTCCTGCAGAACTAAAAATAAAAAATTAAAAAAAAAAAAAAGTCAACTGATGCAGCTTTCAACCTACATAATTTTCCAATAATGTAAATTTCATTTTCAATACCTAAAATCAGGGCTTGGCAATAGAACAACATAATTAACGTTTCTAATTAACATGGAACTTACAATGGCATCGTTATCGATATTTCTATTCGATTTCCGGTAAAATTATTGCAACGTCGATGATATAAAAAGACGATGTACGACAATGATTCGATATCATAAGTTGGACAGTTTACATTTGGAAAACATCTGAATAGTATAGTTCATAAAAATGAAAGTTTGTAAGTGTTACGAAAGGAGAGCGAAAATAATAGTTCTGAATATCTTCTTCTCATTATTTTCCAATTTCAGACTATTTATTAGTAATTGTGGCCATATTGGCTCCTGCCATAATTAGGGGTCATAACTATGGTCATGACCACGATTATCCTGCGGAAAGTCCATGTTCGGAAGAAAACGACTATGACGATGACCATAAACCACCACCATCATGCTCTGGCGATAATGAATCGGATAATGGACATGATTCTAATGGCAATGGAAATGGACATAACCGACCATGTTCTGGGGATAATGGAAACCATAGACCACCACCATCATGCTCTGGCGATAATGAATCGGATAATGGTCATGATTCTAATGACAATGGAAGTGGACATAACCGACCATGTTCTGGGGATAATGGAAACCATAGACCACCACCATCCTGCTCTGGCGATAATGAATCGGATAATGGACATGATTCTAATGGCAATGGAAATGGACATAATCCACCATGTTCTGGGGATAATGGAAACCATACACCACCATCACCATGCTCTGGCGATAATGAATCGGATAATGGACATGATTCTAATGGCAATGGAAATGGACATAACCGACCATGTTCTGGGGATAATGGAAACCATAGACCACCACCATCATGCTCTGGCGATAATGGAAATGATTCTAATGGCAATGGAAATGGACATAACCCACCATGTTCTGGGGATAATTGGTCCGATAATGATAATGGATGTAATGGCAATGGAAATCATAGACCAAGGCCACCATGTTCTGGAGGTAGTGGATCCGGAGGTTCAGGTAGTGGATCGGGCAGTGGTTCCGGTAGTGGTTCCGGAAGTGGATCTGATGGTTCCGGTAGTGGATCGGGTAGTGGTTCCGGAAATGGATCTAATTGCAATGGAAATAATAGACCAAGGCCACCATGTTCTGGAGGTAGTGGATCGGGAAGTGGTTCCGGCAGTGGATCGGGCAGTGGTTCCGGAAGTGGATCTGATGGTTCCGGTAGTGGATCGGGTAGTGGTTCCGGAAATGGATCTAATTGCAATGGAAATAATAGACCAAGGCCACCATGTTCTGGAGGTAGTGGATCGGGAAGTGGTTCCGATAGTGGATCGGGCAGTGGTTCCGGAAGTGGATGTGATGGTTCCGGTAGTGGATCGGGCAGTGGTTCCGGAAGTGGATCTAATTGCAATGGAAATAATAGACCAAGGCCACCATGTTATGGAGGTAGTGGATCGGGTAGTGGTTCCAGTAGTGGATCGGGCAGTTGTTCCGGAAGTGGATCTGATGGTTCCGGTAGTGGATCGGGCAGTGGTTCCGGAAGTGGATCTAATTGCAATGGAAATAATAGACCAAGGCCACCATGTTCCGGTAGTGGATCTAGTAGTGGATCGGGAAGTGGTTCCGGCAGTGGATCGGGTAGTGGTTCCGGAAGTGGATCTGATGGTTCCGGTAGTGGATCGGGTAGTGGTTCCGGAAATGGATCTAATTGCAATGGAAATAATAGACCAAGGCCACCATGTTCTGGAGGTAGTGGATCGGGAAGTGGTTCCGGTAGTGGATCGGGCAGTGGTTCCGGTAGTGGATCGGGTAGTGGTTCCGGAAGTGGATCTAATTGCAATGGAAATAATAGGCCATGTTCTGGTAGGCCAAACCACAATTCAGGAGGATGCGATGACGACACTACAACAACATGCACTACAACAACATGCACCACAACAACTCCGTGTCCACCATCCCACAATTCTACAACTCCGGAAGGTGATGGCAATAATGGCACAAACGATACCGCCACCCATCTCAATTATTTGATGTCGCTCAACGCTTGTGCCTCACTGCCCGATAATACCATACTCTTGGATTTGAGACATTGCCGTCGTTTCTATGTTTGCACCAACAAACGTGTAAAACGTAATCGTTGTCCAATTGGTGAATGGTATGACAAGGACTTACGTAGCTGCCGTAAACGTTCTCTGGTGACCAATTGTATTGCAAATAAGAATTAGTGATCCAAACTACAGCTGAATCTCAACGACAACAACCACAACGTCAAAATGTGAAACATTCTCGCATTGATATCCGCGTATTCTATCACATATTTCTATAAACATACATATATAATCAACATATTTTAACCGAACTTTCTCAAATAAACAGCAATATTATAAAAAAAAAAAACGTTGAGGTGATTAGCACATTTTTAATCGCATATTGGAGATTTATATTTTAGCATAATATCACATTTTCGGTCCGGGGACGATTGGTACATGCCTTCTGCTTAAATTTTCGGAGCATTTTCTGCGCAGCTATATGTCAGCCTCCGAAACCCCACCAAATACTAAACAAAAGTTATTTCGGTTGGAAAATGCGCTTAAACCCTTAAAATATCGATTTAGATTGGTCAAACATCGACTTGTAGAAATCATTTTCTCGGCACATGTATGTCAGCCTCCAATACCCAGAAATGCCAGCATAGAGCTTTTGGTTGAAAAAAAATGCGCTAAAGCCATAAAACATTGGGCGGGACTGTTGAGAGAGAGAGAGAGAGAGAGAAGAGACATATGATCTGCATTATCTATGTCTTCGAGTTGTTGTGAGAGACTCCATTTTATGCCTCTTTTCTGAGTTTGAACAGTAGGGTCACCCTTATTAGGACATCCTTATTTATGTTGTTATGTTGCCGTTGCAAACAACTGATAGTTCTGCATGTTCGTACCACTCGGTAATGTCTATGTGTATTTATGTATTTTCTTGTCAGGGAACATCAGTTTGACAATGTTCTATGAGTTTCTCACCGTTCGACATTACGGTCCCAACACCGCTTTCACTACTATTTTCTTTTTCACTGTATAGTATATAGTTGCCATTTTCTGTGAGAAGTTCATTGATTTTATCTCATTTCACTTTGGTAGTGTTGGCGGGTTATTTGGGATACCATTTGTATTTTGTTTTTGCAAAATAGTCAGGCTGAATCCCAGTTTGTTGTTTTTATAAAAAAACAACTATTTATTAGTGGGGAATGTATGGCATTGTCCGCCGAGGGGTAAGGCAGGGAAGAGTATAGTTTCGGATTTTGCCACTGATCCTCATCAGTTCCCTTAGTTTTTTGTTGGGATATTCTCCCCAGAAGCTACTTATAGCTTCTTTACAAAAAACCTTCCAAACCCAAATGTCTCTTGTGACAATTCGAATTTCTTACGTTACCAGCGATACGACCCCAATGAGAAGTTCGTTTCGTTGGCGCCTAACTTCGTGGTCAACAAGGCATTTGCAGACAACTACAATATATTTCCCACTGCTATGTGTCGTCACTTTGTGACGAATGTACATAACGTTGTTGTTGGTATTGCTAGTTAAAGCAATAAAACAAACAGTAGGACCGTGCCTGCGTCTACAACTTCAGTAGTGTTGGCGGGTTATTTGGGATACCATTTGTATTTTGTTTTTGCAAAATAGTCAGTTGCAATAGAATCCCAGTTTGTTGTTTTTATAAAAAACAACTATTTATTAGTGGGGAATGTAAGGCATTGTCCGCCGAGGGGTTCTTATAAAATGTAATTTGATGTCCTATCTATAAAAGCCTCGGAACTTCACGAAGAGTTCGAAATGCTCGTCCTACTCCATGTGCAAAATGTCGTTGTCATAATATCCATTTTTTGTTCATGTTGCATTGTGTGGGTTTCGTAGATGGTTGGACTATGACAGCTGGTTCTATGTGACGGGGTTGTCATCTATCGTTGTTGAGAAACAAAGCCCTGCCATTTATATAATAGAGCAAATTAATTCAATGCATCTGTTGATGAAATAAGCCTCAGAAGAAATTCCCATTAAATAGAAAGGTAAACAATCGTCTTAACATTGGCAATACCATAACAACTGGTTGTATGTACCGGATTGACTCGCAAGAGGACCCTGACCAGAGGCTGCCACCTCAACAAATACATGTACGTTATTTTTGTCCTTATATCCCGGAATGCCTGCTCCGAACCCTGCTCCGAAAGTCTGTAGTGTTTGTCAGAACCGCATCAGTGAGATGCAATGAATTTAAAGAACAAACCGGATCAGGGGGTACTGCGATATGATTTACTCCCAGTGTGTCTCATCGTCGGAATACAGACTACACCACATGTTGCTGCTCCACGTCTCGAAAATGCATCCTTCTTGCGTTCAACTATGATGATCGACCCAACAAGATCAGTGAAATTGTGGAGTTTATGAGTCGAATCAGAAAAATAGTCGATGCGATCCAAGCAACAAAGCTAACCGGGAACTATAACTTGCAGCGCTGCGATGGTTGTATCTCGCTTGAGTTAGACTCTATATATCTAGATTCCCGTATCTCGCTTGAGCTAGACTCTATTGCGAAATGCTTTGCGTGTATAGGTTAAATGTGAAACTGCCGAGGTGAAGATATAAAATGTTTGTATACCGTCGATGAACACCTGTACATCACGTTATTTACCGGATATCACTCCGCATTTAGAAGATAGTAACCACCTGGTATTAGAGGACTTCAATGCCCATCATGAATTGTGACACTCCGTCCTACGGGTGCAGCGCTGGCTGAGCTCAATATTTTGCCCCTCACTTCATACATGTTGGTCGAATACCCAATATAAGACCAAACTTCCCATCACAGGCGATGAATTGCCAATGAACGTGATGAGCTCAGTCGTACGACCCAAAGTTGAGAGAAATTACACTTTTTTTGATTTGTGAAAAATTAAATTTCTGCATAACTGATCTTATTTCATTCTTCCATCTGGAGAATATAATCACATTATCTTGACCACAAATTAACGCAGATACTGCTATATACGAAAGCTGAAAAGTGGGAACCGCTGCCAGCGTTTGGGGCGCTGACAGACAAACCTTCATGACCTCAATAGGCCGGTTAGAGGTAAGTTATGCGGTGCCAGTGTGGTTTGATAATATAAGTAATACGCAGTGAAAGAATATTCAGAAATGCCAAAATCCGCTCTATGAACCAGTGGATCATCTTTATGAGGATATGAAGATCTTACCCCTCCATCGACACAACAATATGTTGTCGATGCAGTAACTACTTGGGTGTTATCGTCGGGAACACAAATTCCACAAACACCGGACGCCATAGAGATCGTAATGTATGCGGATGACTGTACGATCATGCCGTCAGGACGTATTATTGCTGTGATTTGTGAATGATTAAACTTCTACATAGCAGAACTTGTTTCTTTCTTTGATCTGCGGAATATGAAAATATTCAACATTAAATGAACAGCCACACTGTTGACCACATGATTCCGATCACAAACTAAGTCAAATACTGGGTGTAACATTCGATAGCCAATGTTTTATGAGATAAACTGAGAAGTAGAAAAAAAGTCTTCAAGTCGCTAGCAGAGCTTGGGGCGATGACAAAGAAACCTTGTTGACACTAATAGGCTCGTCACTGGTAAGCAATGCGGCGCCAGTGTTGTTTGAAAATATAACAGATAAGTAGTGAAAGAATATTCAGAAATACCAAAATGCGCACAACAGGGTGTCTCCTCATGACATCAGTGGGCCATATTCACGAGGAGATGAAGATCTTATTCGTCCATCGACAAAGCAGTATATTGTCGATTCAGTAACAGCTTGGGTGTTATTGTCGGAAGCACACCTGCCATAGAGAGATCTATATGACCTAGAGAGAGCGCTCCAAAGGTACGAACGTGAAACACCAGACCAACTGGCATATCAAGCATATCTGAATGACATTCATACAGACGCAATCGCTCAGGCAGTAGAATAATATCCATAATCGGAGGCCATCCAACGCAGCAGAGGAGTAGCAGCTGCCAGTACACACACGAGCAGTTCAAGTTCAACTAAGATCAGGATGATGGAACCGCCATAATTCCTATTGCACAATGATTGTGGATATGTTACACCTCTTCAACTATTCAGCTAAGCCTACTCACGTATCTCCAAATTTCTTATGGACCAAACTCAGAACCAGACATTTCATAACTATTAATATGTGTTTTGTTGCTACAACAAAAAACATTGGATTAGTTTTTATCATCCTTGACGAAAATTATTTTGAAACAAGTAAAGTTCGGGACCTATATTAAAACCTGGATCGCATTTTATTATTTGTCATCAACTAAATACTAAGTGGGAATACGTAAATAAGTTTAAACATTCATTTTCAATATCTAAAATCAGGGTTTGGCAATGTGACAATATAATTTACGTTTCTAATGAAATATCGTTATCGATATTTTAACCTATTTCCGGTAAACGTATTGCAATGTCGATGATATAAAAAGCCAATGTGCGGCATAGATTTGCTATCATAAGTTGCATATCTTACATTTGGAGAACATCGGAATAGTATAGTTCATGCAATGAAAGTTTGTAAGTGTTACGAAAATATAATAATATTTAAAATTCTGAATATTTTCTTCTCATCGTTTTCCTATTGCAGACTATTTATTAGTATTTGTAGCCATATTGGGTCCACCGATAACTAATGGTCATAACTACCGTTATGGTCTCAATTATCCTGTGGAACGTTCACCAGTTGATTGTTCTACATGTTCGGATGGCGAACAAATAGCCGATCGAACTAGTTGCTCACGCTACTATCTGTGCATTGGTGGTCAGGCATTTCGAAAAACGTGTGCTCCCGGTTTATTGTTTGATGCACGATCTCGTTCGTGTAATTTGGATTATTTGGTCGATTGCCAAGTGGGTCGTTACAATTACAATGAAAATAGAGAAAACTACTATAAACCAAATGTTATTGATATCTTGGGTCTTTTTGGATGGCCTTTTGGGCATAAAAATCCCGGTAATGTGCCTTCAACTCATGATTCTTCGGTCAATAATGTCGATGTTCAGCCGTCAACAACTTCGACACCTCTACCAAATAAAGTGAATCCACCTACAACTACTACATGTGAACCTACGACTACCACTACAACATGTGAACCTACGACTACCACTACAACATGTGAACCTACGACTACTACTACAA